CATTCCTATTCTCTCCTTCCTTGCTTTTCCCCCTCTCGCTTCCTTCCTCTTTTCCCCCTTCCAGGCACCCCAGCCAGCCTGCCATTAGCGAGTTTCACAGCCGTGCTCAAGCCTGCAGACACAGGGATTAGGTTATTTTTTCTTCTGAGCATTAGGCTACCATGCAAAGCTGAGAACCTGATACCCACCTCTGCTGTCGGATCCACAGCTCAGCTTGAATTCCAGCAAACAGAGCAGTAGCACCCTGTCACCTTGTGCCACAGATGGAAAAGGACATGTCTCCGTCCTTATACACACCTCAGAGCAGCTGCTTTGTCTCTGGCCACGGCACGGGCCACATCCTGATAACCACGAACAGCAAGAGGCAGCTGCCTCCGGAGCTGCTCGAGCGAAACACACAGCCCTATGACACAGACCTGTACAAAGACCTCGGACAGACACACAGACACGAGGTAGCTCCTCCGGTGTCCCCAGGCACACAGTGGGGCAGACCGTACCTCCTCTAAACCAGGAGACCAAGCTGACACGGAGAGGGTGCAGACAGCAAACACGGGGTGGGGGCTACGCACTTTAGCTGGGGGCTCTGATCTACAGCTGCAACCGTGGGGTCACTGCTCCGGTACTTACAGGTGGGCTCCCCGCCTGGGTAGCCCAGGTGGTTTCTGATGGCCTCCCATAAATCATAGTCTTCAAAATTGAAGGCAAATTCATCAAAGTCTTCATAGCCGAGTGAGTTGCGAATACAGGTGCTTATTGCTACCTCCGGGCTGCTGCCCCCTTCCGATTCCTTCGCTGCCTCCTCTCTCTCTCGAAGGGTGGTCATTTTGTCCTTGTGAAGGTCAGGGGTCAGGTGCCATGAGCCACTCGCCTTCAGAGGAGGGGCCGGGGTAGCCAGCCTGATGTGTGGAAAGCAAGCTGCACCCCTGGGGGGGCTTCACCGGGGCATGAAGGTGCCGGCTGCAGCAGATGCTGGGGACTGACGAGGTCCCGGGAAGGCTGGCTCCACCCGGGGATGCTTCGGTGTGGGGCTGCCCCACCAGCTCCTCCGGAGCAGGGTCCTTGCGGGGTCTCGTGCCAGATGCCCAGGGACGCAGCGCCCGTGGCCCAGGGACACAGCCAGGCTGTGCGTGCAGCACCGCTCCTCTCCCTCGCACCGCTCCTCTCCCTCGCTCCCCTCTGCTGTCTCCCTCCCTCTCCAGCCTGCAGAGCAACCTATTGAATTCTCCATGTCCTCCGGCCCGGAGCCTGCATTTCCATGACGTCTCTTCTGTCTGCCCTCACATTGCGCACAGGGGCAGTCCCCCTCCGAGGCGTTTCGGAGGGGGCAGCTGCCTCTCGGCCAGGAGAGCAGAGGAGAGGGGAGGCTCCACACCTCAGGTTTTCTGCGATGCCAGAGCTGGCGTGTCGCACAGAGGGCTGATTGCCGGGAAAGTGTGTCAGGAGAGGAGAGAGCTGGGTCTCAGGGAAACACAGCAAGCCCTGAACCAGAGAGGGCAGTGGGGCGGGTGGAGGAGCAAGCATCTGTGGGGTGGGTGTGAGTAGAGATGCTGGAAACATGGGGACCGGCGCTGTAGACATTGCAAAACTGACAGAGAGGAGCCAGGGCTAGAAAAGCAGGGGCTGGGGGACAGGGAGGTGAGGACCAGGTCCTGCAGTAGGCTGAAGACCATGCCTGGAGCTGCTAGGGAAGAGGGAAAAGCAAGGAGAAGTAAGGGACACGCGCACTAGTAACGTAGGTAGTGTTGCAAAGCCTCACTTTTCATGCCGTCCAAGTCTGCGGACGCCAGCATCTGGGCCTCGGCTTCGTCCGTGGGGACGCGCTGGTACGCTGCGCTCTCCAGCGTGGTCATGCTGCCGATGCACATCCTCTCCTTCAAGTCATAGGTAACTCGTTGTCCACCCGCCACCTGGCCCCAGGGCTTGCGCTTCTCCCACCCACGAGAGAGACGTTCCTGAGGCCCAGGGAGGCTGTAGGAACCAAAGAGACCGATGGTAGCAAACGAGGTGAATGAGGATGGGCAATGGCCCCTTAGAGGCTGAGGTCCCTTGGCCCAGCCCTGACCAACAAGTCCCTGAGAAGGAGCAGAGCCAGGAGTCACCTATCCCAAAACCTAAAGGTTGCCCCTTCTGCTCCTCCTCTCCCCCACCGCAGAGCAGGATTAGCTTGTGATCAGTGTTGGGGACCCACCTCTGAGTCAACGGCCTCACGGTCCCCTGACTCGGCCAAGCCTCCTGGGGCTTCCCAGCCTGCAGGTCAGCACGACGGTGCAAGTTAGCTGGGAGGAAGGGTACTCCGGCTGTGCAGCCCAGTGCCCCCAAACTCGCACTCTGGGGATCCCACGGACCCGAGGAGGTTGCAGAAGTCCCAGGGAGTGACTGTCCCACCAGAACGCACCCATGTGGCTCACAGCCCCTCTCTCTCTAGGGCCCACGTCCCCTCTGGCTCAGCAGGCAAGTTCTGCCTGTGCACAGCCTCTACCCCCAGGGACAGGGTCTGCACAGTGATTTGGAGCCAGGGAGAGCAGCAGGCAGCTCGGCACCGCTCGCCTACCTGCGGAGGGAGGCAGGGCCCTTGTCCTGCAGCAGGTCGGCGAAGCGTGGCACGGGGTACAGGATGCCACACTCCTCCTCCACGTGGAACTGCACGGGGGCCAGAGCGCTGCTGGACTCCTCCTCATCACTGCCAATGGTGAACTGCAGAGACGACAGTCCTGACAGCAACAGCCAGGGCAGGCAGCCTTCGCCCCCATCCCTGGCACGTAGATTCTCCCCGCGTCCCCACCTCCTAGAACGGGCCACATCAACTTCCCCCATGTGCCCCATGCCCTGGGATTGGCCATATTGAGCCCCTCCATATCGTATACACCCTAAGAACAGACACACTGATCTTCCCCCATGGGTCTTACACCCCCAAAATGGTCACACACACCCTCCCCAGCATCCCCCCCAAGCAATGGCTTATCTATAACTATCCTCCAGTGCCCATCTCTGCTAGGCAGGGACAAAACCACTCTTCCCGCAATGTTGCACAGCTACAACCTCCTCCCCCTGAGCAGCACACTCCCTTGACCATGCACCCTGGCACCCTCCTGGCATTGACTCTGCCTCCAGCTCCCCCCAGCCTCCGAGCCCCATCCAGGTAGGGATGCCCTAGCCTTGCCTTTGGTTTGCTTGAGGGCTCCAGCTTAGGAGATGCGTCCTTCCCACGAGCTTCGCCCTCAGACTCTAGAGAGATCTCTTTCTCCTGGGCCTCCTCTGCCTCAGATTCTCCTTCTTCCTCTTCTTCTTCTTCCTCTTCTTCCTCCTCTTCTCCCTCCTCCTCGTCCTCTTCCTGGATGGTGGGGGTCACCTCTGAGGGGGGTACTGAGGTTTTCTTCTTTTTCTTCCTCCTTTTTTTCCTCCTGCTGGCACGGGGGGGCCTCTTTTGGAACTTGAGGGCAGAAGGGAGGTGAGTGGAAAGGGGATGATGGATGTGGTGCGAGGTTTGGCGGTGGACTGAGAGAGAAAAAGAGAGTCAGGGGCAGGAAGAGGCTGGGAGGAACCTGCCAGGCGCCCCTCCAGGAAACAGCATGGTCTGGAGATCAAGGGCCAGGAAGGGCAAGGAGAGCCACCAGCCCGCAGGGACACAGCAAAGCTCTTTCAGGGATGCGGCAGGCTGTGTCCAGCCTGGGGTGACTTGGGAGGCAGCCCTCGTGCAGTGCCAAACCACCCCATCGCAGCTCCACTGCCCTGAGGAAGGCAGGACTCCTCTCCTGGTGTTGCCAAAAGCCATTTGTACGGCTACATAGAGCTGCAGTGACCTGCCAGAGGCACCATCCCCTTCCTAAACATGGGGAAATATTTCTCGCATTCTCAAACAAGCATGATTTGGGCCCTTTACAAACATTCTAGGGACATGGCTTAGTGGTGTTGGACTTGATGATCTTAAAGGTCTTTTCCAACCTAAATGATTCCATGATTTCTTTCCTGCATAGTGTTCTTTGAGTTAAACAGATGTGCCTTATTTATCCCCCAGGCTTTGACAGAAAGTTCCCCCTGCATACCCACAGGAACCACAGACCAAGCCTTTTAGTGCAGATGCAACCTAAGTGCACATCCCAGGTACTGGGAGGGCTTGTGTCTACCAGCCTCTGAAATGCAGGTTCAACTAGGAGGCCGTCTTTCAAAAACCAGGGTAAAAAACAGGGCAGAAGGACTTTTCTTTAAACTAATTTACAAAGAGAAATTCAGACAGGCTTGACCTAGGTGTCGTGGGAATTACAGACTGAGAAGAAATTAATGGCATTTCTGAGCCTTCACTCAAAAACAACGATAATGCACCAGGCAGGGAACAGGGTAAGCTCAGCATCTCCCGGCGAGAGAGAGGAAAGCCATTTCTGCCAGGTCTATCCGCAGGCACAAAGCCTCCCATAGACAGCCTGCAGGATGCACAGATCCTGGGGCTGCACCCGGAGTAGCTGAAATCACGGGGGCACCAGTCACTTCGCAAGGGGGCTTTGCTCAGCAGCTCTTCCTGAGGAATTGTTTCCAGCCTGTTTTGATTTGGTTCCTTCCCAGCTTTCCTGTGACATGGCAGCAAAATCTGTTTATAGTGAAAACTACCTTCAAAGGACATTTTCAATGGAAGCTGCAACCTTCTCCCTGGGAGAGCCAGGCAGGTTCATTGTTCTGCTGTCATGTTTCCTTTCCTTTGGTTTCTCAAGTCTTTTCTCCCTTGTTTCCCCCCTTGGGAACAGCAGGGATATTTCACACACCC